CTGAGGAGCGTGTTGAAGTAGTGCGTCCAGAAATAGTTGCCCACGCACGAAGGAAGGGAGGAAGGAAGGGAGGAAGGAAGGAGGAAGGAAGGAAGGGAGGAAGGAAGGGAGGAAGGAAGGGAGGAACGAAGGGAGGAAGGAAGGGAGGAACGAAGGGAGGAAGGAAGGGAGGAAGGAAGGGAGGAACTCACATCATTGAGGCGCCAGGAGGGGAAAGTGTACGAAGCTCCGAGCAGCGTGTAAAAGTAGTGCGTCCAAAAGTAGTTGCCCACGAAGCTAAAGATTGCGATCCACACGTTCGCCTTCACCCAGTGCTGCTCGTGCCACGGCCGCCCCTTGTCGGCCTGATAAGGAAGACAAGTAGGCGGGAGGGAGGGAGGGTAGGTGGGTGGGTGGATGGGTGGATGAGACGTCAATCCACACATTCGCCTTCACCCAGTGCTGCTCATGCCATGGCTTAGCCCTGTCGGCCTGATGGCATGGGTGGGATGGGTGAGTGCGTGGGTGGGTGGACGGGGATGGGTGGGAGGGAGAGTGGTGGGTGGGTGGACGGGTGGGCGGACCAATGGGAGGGCGTTCAGACGTCTCAAAACGCAATCCACACGGTCGCCTTCACCCAGTGCTGCTCGTGCCACGGCCGCCCCTTGTCGGCCTGATGGTATGGGTTGTATGGGGGGGATGGGTGGGAGTATGGGTACATAGGCGGAAGGGAAGGTGGATTGCTATACTGATGCAGATTGCAATCCACACGGTCGCCTTCACCCAGTGCTATACCATGCGCGCCCCTTGTCCACCTGATGAGGAAGATGGGTTATTATGAGTGAGTGGTTGGGTGGGTGGGTGGGCGGATGGATGGATGGATGGATGGATGGATGGATGGATGGATGGATGGATGGATGGATGGATGGATGGATGGATGGATGGATGGATGGATGGATGGATGGATGGATGGATGAAGGGATGATAACCTTTGACATTCTCACGTTCAGACAAGGATGGATGGTTTAATGCGAAAATCATGCCAAACAGATACACACAATAATTGCTTGGGATCACATGTGATGATCTCACCGCACACAACATACCCTCCCATGATTCTCACCCACCGCCCGCAGCATGGCGGGTGGGAACGAGCACGCAGGGCAGAGCTGCTGGTAACGCTTGTGTATTGTCACTTCGATGCATTACACAACACATTCAGTTTTCTCTCAGGATCACATGTGACGTGGTGCTCTCACTCACTCACCGCACACAGCATGAATGGTGGAACGAGCACGCAGGGCAGAGCTGCTGCAAGCCCCACCCACAGATACTCCCACGCCGTGAAGCGCTGGGAAGAGGGGGGGGGGGGGGGAGGGGGAGGGGGAGGGGGAGGGGGAGGGGGAGGGGGAGGGGGAGGGGGAGGGGGAGGGGGAGGGGGAAGGGGAGGGGGAGGGGGGTGTGAAGTGCATTGAGCCCACCAGCAGATCCTCCCCCTCCGTGAAGCGGCGGTGGGAGAAGGATGCGAGGGAAAGGAGAGCAGCTTGGGTAGACGCGTGTTACCCAGCGGTTCTTAAAAGGAACGCCGGGAGGTAGAGTGCGCGGGTCTACAGTGCCGGGACGCGCGACGAGGCAATGCCGAGGCGCGGAAGAATGTAATGTCGACGCGCGGAGCGATGCAATGTCGAGTTGTAGGTGCACCCAGAATGTAATATCTAACGGTTACTATTCTGAGTCGACTCGAGATGCTCCCTAGAAGATCATTGGAGGGATAACGGGCTAACGGGCTAGGAGGCTTATGATGGTACCTTATAGAGCTGAAACGGGACGATGATCCCGAGGGCCCATGTGATCCAAACGGGCGAATAGTAAAGAAAGAACTTCTCGGCCCATCGCTTGCTGGGCGTCTCCGCGAACCACATGGCGGCTGCTGATTGGATCCGGAATCGGCGTTGTGAAATGTCCTGAGAATGCAGCTTAGAGCTTCTAGGACGCTTGTGGATCTAAAGCGGGGTAATTTCTGGCCGAGGTTCGATGCTAGCCGTCCGATCGGACCAGCCCTTGGGATTGCCTTGCCTGGAGCGGCTCGCCACGTGGGACAGATCGAGTGGCTCTCGCCGCACATTGATTTCCTTACGTGGTGTGTCTGACAATCTTGTTTTCGTTCATTACCCTACTCGACCATTCTGGAGCTCAAATTGGCCGCTCTATAAATATTCGGTTACCACACAACATATAAGTGGAAAATATCGGGCCTGTCTAGGCGTGTTGAAAAACTTGTATCGAGGAAAATATTACCATGTCTTCCCTGCAATACAGTGGTCAGCATCACTGTTACCTAGTTTACCCGCTACCTAAGTCTCACCCCCGACCCCCGACTTAGGGTTCATCTCACGTCCAGCGAAACCACTCTCCGGTAGTTGCGTGCGCGTTTCGTCTGAGGTACTCCCTAAGGCTCACTATGTCGAGCCGGAAAAATTCACCTGTGTAAATCTCCCTCGCTGTAGTAACATTGCAGCTACACTTGGAATTCGCGTTTTTGTCGCAATGGATCTTCTACCGAAAGTATGGCATGAACAGGCCAGCAGCATCGAAGATGCGTTACTAGCTTCCGCGTCAAAAGATTCTCCGTCTAGCAGCCCCCTTAAACCTCCGCAATCCCCGGCTAAAACCCCGTCGAAAAAATCTCTCGCCAAAAAGGCTCGCCGAAAATCCGGAGAGGCGGAAAGCGCAGGAAATGGCGCATATGTATCTGCGGAACTTCCGCCGGTAGCTGGCGCGGAAACTGGCGCTGCCACTGGTACAGACGGGAGCTTGGCGGAAGGCGCAGGGGCGGGCGGAGGGGGTCAGGCGGAAGACCCACGCGGGGGGCTGTCGGAGGCGGAGTGGATGGCGTTGGCGGAGAAGCTGCGGGGGGAAGGGGACGCGCTTTTGAAAGAGGCGGCGGAAGCGTATGAGCGGCGCAAGGAGAGCAGCAGCGATGCCAGGTGGCTGGCTGCCGTCCGTCGATCTGGAACAGCCGCGGATCGTGTGGCTGCGCTGACTGTGGTTATACAGGACGACCCTGTAGCCAATCTCACCAACCTGGACGCGTTACTGGGTAAGAGCCATTGAATTGTACGCGCTATTGAGCAGAAGCACTTCCTATCCCCCGCTTAACCCCGCTCCCCCGCGTTCCCCCCTTCCTCGCAGCAATGGTGATTAACAAGGCGACCAAGCGCCTTGCGCTGGGCGCCAAGGACGCGCTCAGCGAGCTTTTCACCTCCTCGCTGCTGCCCTCCCTCCCCCATCCCCTTCCCTCGCTGCTCCCCTCCCTCCCCCCTCCCCTTCCCTCCAGCCATGGTTGTCAACAAGGCGACCAAGCGCCACGCGCTGGGAGCCATGGACGCGCTCAGCGAGCTCTTCACCGCCTCGCTGCTGCCCGACTCGCGCAAGCTGCGCTGGCTGCACCAGCAGCCGCTGCTGCTCCTGTCCCCGCTAAGAGCATCCTCGCTACAAGCCGCTTCGCTACAAGCTGCCTCGCAGCAGTCAAAGGGCGAGGGAAAAGCAGGAGGGAAGGTGACTGTAGCGGGGGGAGATGCGGGTAGAAGGCTGCTGCGGCTGTGGCGATACGAGGAGTGTCTTAAGGAGCGGTTTGAGAGGTTTTTGGAGGGGTTGGAGGAGGGCGGAAAGGACGTGGTCGAGTTTGTGCGTGATAAGGTGCTTCGCATTCTGCATGCCCTGCTGTCGTCCAAAGCGGAGGGGGAGAGAAGGGTGCTGCAGGCACTGGTGAACAAGGTGAGCGAGCAGTTAGTAGGGCGAGGAGAGGCGCGGAGATAGGGGTATATATGAAGGTGCTTCGCATTCTGCATGCCCGGCTGTCGTCCAAACGACAAGGTGAGGTGAGCTACCTGCTGAGTTGTTTGTCTCTTAGTGTTTGAAGTAGTGTTCCGAGACGTCTCAAAACACTAGTTCAAACACGACAAGGTGAGGTGAGCTACCTGCTGGTTTGTCTCTTCAACGCTCACCCACCCCACCATCATGCCCCCGGTGGTGGTGAATAGCCACGTGAAGAAGAGTGTTTTTGAGACGTCTCAAATACACTCTTTCTTCACGCGTTGTCTCTTCAACGCTCACCCACCACATCAGCATGCCCCCGGGTAGTGGTGAAACACGGCGAGGCTTTCGTCTTCCGTTCCGTCCCAACATCAGCACGCACTCTCAGCACTACGCAGCCCTCTCTCCCATCAGCCCTCAACCTCATCAGCCCTCTCTCCCTCTTCCCGCCACCCTCTTCCCCCCACCCTCTTCCCCCACCGCTCTTCTCCCGCCCCTCTTTCCCCCGCCCCTCTTCCCCCGCCCCTCTTCCCCCGCCTCTCTTTCCCCGCCCCTCTTCCCCCTTTTCCTCCTCTCCTCCACTGAGAGACCCAAGTCGAAAGGTCGCCTATAAGGCAAAGCTACCTGGTGGGCTGTCTGCTAGACGCCGATCCCAACATGGCCCCCGTGGTGGTGAAACACGTGGAAGCCTTTGTGTTCCGCCCCAACTTCAGCACTCCCCACTCCCACTCCCACCCCCCCTTCCTCCCACCCTCCCTCTCCTTTCCAGCTGGGAGATCCAAGCCGAAAAGTCGCCTCCAAAGCCAGTTACCTGCTGGGCTGTCTGCTAGACGCCCATCCCAACATGGCCCCTGTGGTGGTGAAACACGTGGAAGCCTTTGTGTTCCGCCCCAACATCAGCACGCGCGCCCGGCACTACGCGGCCGTCTTTCTGAACCACATCACCCTGTCTCACAAGGGCCTGGGTCCCATGCTCGCCAGGCAGCTCATTGACCTGTACTTTGCGCTGTTCAAAGTGGTGACGATGGGTGCGGGAGGGGATGGGGATGGGGACGGGAAGGGGCGTTGGGAGGGGAGAGGAGGAGAAGGGAGGGGTGGAGGGCGGGGGAGAGGGAGGGGTGGAAGGAGAGGGGGAAGGGGAGGAGAGCGAGGAGGGAGGGGAGGGAGAGGAGGGAGGGGAGGGAGAGGAGGAGGGGGGAGAGGAGGGGGAAGGAAAGGGAAGGACCGGTTTGTGTCGGCAGCAGCAGCGCCGGGAGTGGGAGGGGTGGAAGGGCATGAGTTGGAGGCGGATAGCGCGTTATTGTCGGCTCTCTTGACAGGTATGGCTGTAACGAGGGTGTTAATATCGAGTATACTTTCTTAGGCCACTCAATCATTGGCTGCAGCAGTGCCAGGAGTAAGTGGGTGGAGGGAGGGGCGGAGGGGCGGAGGGGCAAAGGGGCACGAGTTGACTTTTGAGGCGCCTCAAAAGTGGTTGCAGCAGTGCCAGGAGTAAGTGGGTGGAGGGAGGGGCGGAGGGGCACGAGTTGGAGGCGGATAGCGCGTTGCTGTCAGCGCATTTGACAGGTATGGCTGTAACAAGGTATGCCTTGGTGATTGACAGCAGCAGCAGCACTGGGAGTGGGAGGGGCGGAGGGGCACGAGTTGGAGGCGGATAGCGCGTTGCTGTCAGCGCATTTGACAGGTATGGCTGTAACAAGGTATGCCTTGGTGATTGACAGCAGCAGCAGCACTGGGAGTGGGAGGGGCGGAGGGGCACGAGTTGGAGGCGGATAGTGTGTTATTGTCGGCTCTTTTGACAGGTATGTTGGAAATGAGGTTGTTTATATCGAGTATGTTCTTTTAGGCAGCACCACCTGCAGCAGCGCCGGGGATGGGAGGGATGGAGGGGCATGAGTTGGAGGCAGATAGCGGGATGTTGCCGGCTCTTTTGACAGGTATGGTTGAAACGGGGGTGTTGATTCATATCGAGTATGCTTTTGAGAGTCGCACACACTGCTGCTCTCATCTCTCTCCCAACCCACCCACCTCCCTCCTTTCGTCCCCTCCCGCCTCCCTGCCCTGCAGGTGAGAATCGTGGGTTCCCATAGGTGATCCAAACCCACACTCTGCTGCTGCGCTCTCCCTCTCATCTCCCCCCCTCCTTCGCCCCCATTCTGCTCCCTTTACCCAGGTGTCAACCTCGCGTTTTGAGGCGCCTCAAAAAAATTTAGACGATTTTTTAGGCGCCTAAAAAATCCTCTCATCTCATCTCCCCCCCTCCTTCGTCCCCATGCTGCTCCCTTTACCCAGGTGTCAACCTCGCGTTCCCGTATGTGGCACACGTAGCAGAGGACGATGTAGCAGAGGTGATCGAGACGCACACGCCTCTCCTCTCCACTTCTATCCTTACGCCCCCCTCCCCTTCTTTCTCTCGCAGGTGTCAACCGCGCGTTCCGCTACGTGGCAGAGGACGACGTGACAGAGGTGATAGAGACGCACACGCCGCTGCTCTTCCGCATGGTGCATGCGGCCAGCTTCAACCTGGGCGTGCAGGCGCTTCTGCTGCTCCTTCTTGAGTCGACTCAACAACCTTGGCGTGCCCCACCTCTTCCCCTCCTCGCCCGCCCTTCCCCCCTCCCCTTCCCCCCCTCCCCTTCCCCCCTCCCCACCCCCCTACAGGTGTGAATCGGGCCTTTCGTTATGTCGCCGAAGACGACGTGACAGAGGTGATCGAGACGCACACGCCCCTGCTCTTCCGCATGGTGCATGCGGCCAGCTTCAATCTGGGAGTGCAGGCGCTGCTGCTGCTGTTCCAGCTGATGGGCAAGAGCGCTGCTCTCAGCGCTCGCTACTACCGCGCGCTCTACTCCGTGCTCTTCTCACCCGCCCTCGCCAAGTCTTCTAAGGTGGGTGATGAGGGCTGGGATTCGGGATCCAGGGTTGTGAACCACGTGTGGGTTGGGCTCAGGGGTGGGGCTAAGGGGTTGGGCTCAGGGTTGGGGCTAAGGGGTGGGAGTTTCCTTTCTGTATTCTGTAACGTGTGTTTTTTGAGAATTCTCAAAAAACACACGAATTCTCAAGAATTCTAAAAAAACACACGAGTCTCCTTTCTGTATTCCAGGGAAAGGCAGTGACTCCCAGGGGCAGTGGCAGTGCAGGCGCTGCTGCTGCTCTGCCAGCTCATGGGCAAGCGCACTGCTCTCAGCGCCCGCTACTACCGTGCTCTCTACTCCGTGCTCTTCTTTCCCGCCCTTGCTAAATCCTCCAAGGTGCGTGATTAGGCTTGGGGCGCCCCGGGTTGGGGCTCAGGCTTGGGGTTTAGGCTTGGGAGCCATGGTTGCGTTCAGGGTTTGGAGTCTCCTTTCTGTATTTCAGGGAAAGGCAGTGACTCCCAGGGGTAGTGGCAGTGCAGGCGCTGCTGCTGCTCTGCCAGCTCATGGGCAAGAGCGCTGCTCTCAGTGCCCGCTACTACTGCTCGCTCTACTCCGTGCTCTTCTCTCCCGCCCTTGCTAAATCCTCCAAGGTGGGTGCTCTGTTTGAGGGGGTGCGTGGGAGTGGGGTGAGGGTGGGGAATTGTTGGGGTTGGGGTTGGGGGGGTGTGCGCTCAACTCTCTCTACTACCGCGCTCTCTTCCCCGTGCTCTTCGCATCCGCCCTTGCTAAATCCTCCAAGGTGCGTTTTGGGCGGTGGAGGTGGGAGTGTTGGTGGGGGTGGTCTTGGGGTTTTGCTAGTACCGTTCTCTCTTCCCCGTGCTCTTCGCATCCGCCCTTGCCAAATCCTCCAAGGTGGGTTTGAACGCTAGAGTTTGAAACCCCAAACGCCTTCGCGGTCACTTAGGCCAGTACCCGTACCCCCATCCTCTCCTTTCCTCCCGCTCCTCTCTCCCTCGTCTCCACGCATAGCAGCGTTTGGCAAGCGGCTGCTCTCTCCCTTGCGTAGGGAGAGAGAGAAAGAACCCTCCCTTTTCTTTCTCTCTCTTTACCAGGGTCCCATGTTTATGGCTTTGGTGTTCTAAGTCAATGAAAGCAGACGTCAACCTGCCTTGCATAGCACCGCTCGCTAAGAAGGCCCCTCCCTCTGCCCTCCCTTGTACCAATAACCATTCCACTTTCCACCTCTCTCCAACTCTCTTCACCTCGTTCCACCCTCTTTCACAGGGTCCCATGTTTATGGCTTTGGTGTTCAAGTCAATGAAAGCAGACGTCAACCTGCCTTGCATAGCACCGCTCGCTAAGAAGGCCCCTCCCTCTGCCCTCCCTTGTACCAATAACCATTCCACTTTCCACCTCTCTCCAACTCTCTTCACCTCGTTCCACCCTCTTTCACAGGGTCCCATGTTTATGGCTTTGGTGTTCAAGTCAATGAAAGCAGACGTCAACCTGCCTCGCATAGCAGCGTTCGCCAAGCGGCTGCTGCAGGTGGCGCTGCAGCACCAGGCCACCTTTGCGTGTGGGGCGCTTCTTCTAATTTCCCAAGTGCTCAAAATACGACCCATGCTCTGGTAAGGGAGAGTGCGCGTTGTGGTGAGGGCGTGTGTGGTGAGGGCGTGTGTGGTGAGGGCGTGTGTGGTGAGGGCGTGTGTGGCGAGGCTGTAGTTGGAGAGGTGCCTCAGAAGCCAAGCGGCTGCTGCTGCAGGTGGCGTTACAGCGCCAGGCACGCGATAAAAGTGTTGTTTTGAGACATCTCAAAACCAAGCGGCTGCTGCAGCAGGTGGCGTTACAGCACCAGACCACGTTTGCGTGCGGCGCTCCGCTCCTCAACTCCCAAGTCCTCAAGCGGCGACCCATGCTGTGGTGAGTGGTGGAGTAGAGTCTACCCATGTTGTGGTTAGGGAGCAGTTGATGAGGCTCCAGAAGCCAAGCGGCTGCTGCAGGTGGCGCTGCAGGTGGCGCTGCAGGTGGCGCTGCAGGTGGCGCTGCAGCAGCATGCCACGTTTGCGTGCGGCGCTCTGCTGCTCATCTCACAAGTGCTCAAGCTGCGACACATGCTGTGGTGAGGAAAGGGTGATAGTGCTGTGGTGTAGTGTGTGCGTTTGCAGCAGCAGCAGACAGTACTCTCGACTCACAAGGGGAAATATGTTGCAGCGTGTGTTTTTTGAGAATTCTCAAAAAACACACGCAGCAGCAGCAGACACTACTCTCGACTCACAAGGGGAAATATACTTCGGGCCTCCATTCAGCCGTTGTTGATCCTTGCTGGCTGAGTACCCTTTACAGAGCAACTCACGTTATCTATCATTATTTGGAGTAAAAAACACATACATCTTATTTTGCATGTGTGTATATCTATAAGTTACATATGTGTATGTTTCCCTTCTTCCCAACAGGAGTGCTATCTTGGAGCCAGAAGCTAATACAGATGACGTGGAGCATTTCGTGGATGTGGATAAGGAGGCAGTCAATAACGAGGATGGATTTCTTGGTGGGAAGAAGGAGCGAGGGAAAGGAGGAGGCGAGGAGGGAGATGAGGAAGAGGACAGAGAGGGGGAGGAGGGAGAGGGGAGACGGAGGAGGGAGGGAGAATACGATCCAAAGCAGAGGGAGCCGTCGCTGTGGTGAGTATATTGGGAATTGGCTCTGTAGCAAATATACGGAGGGGGTGGCACTGTGGTTCTATGATGAGTATATAGGAGGCTGGGGTGTGATTCTACGCCTATCCTTAGCTCCCCCTTTCTCTTTCCCCCTGTATGGTTCCCTAGACCCTCTTTCCCTGTCCCTCTCCTCTCCAATCCCTTTCCGTCTTCTCCTCTCCTCCCACTCCTCCCCAAACCAACTCCCCCCCACTCTCCAGACTTGCGGATCGCGCCTGCTGGTGGGAGCTAGCAGCACTGGCTGCTCATGGCCTTCCCCTCACTTCCCGCCCCTTCCCTTCCCCTCTCCGCCCCCCTCCCCACGCCCCAGCCATGCGGATCGTGCTTGCTGGTGGGAGCTGGCAGCATTGGCAGCGCACGTGCACCCCACAGTCTCTCGCCTCCCCGCTTGCCTGCTCTCGGTGGAACCCGCCTCCTTCACAGGCGACCCCATTCAGGACCTCCCTTCCATGCTCTCTCTCCCTTCCCACCTTTATTCCCCACCTTCTCCGCTTTTTTTCCCCCCTTGTCCCCCGTTTCCCCCCTTGCCCTCCCCCACCTTCCGTTCCTGGTCCTCTCCCACCAACCCCTCCGCGCTTCCAGCCATGCGGATCGCGCCTGCTGGTGGGAGCTGGCAGCATTAGCAGCGCACGTGCACCCCACAGTCTCTCGCCTCGCCGCCTCTCTCCTCTCAGGGGAACCCGCCTCTTTCACAGGCGACCCCATCCAAGACCTCTCCCTCTCCGCCTTCCTCGACCGCTTTGCTGAGAAGCAGCAGATGAGGATGAAAGCTGCGGGTAGGGAAAATGCGGCTTCTGCTGCTGCGGTGGCAGCGGCAGGGGGGAGGAGAAGCGTGGGGTTTGTGAAGGATGGGGGCAAGGGGCAGGTTCAGGCGCATGACGCGTTTTTCCATCAGTTTTATGCGATGCAAGGGGAGTTGGGTTCGAGATGGAACAAGGGGGAGAAGAAAGGGGGAGAGGGTTGGGGGAAGAGAAGGGAGGAGGAGGAAGAGGAGGGATTGGATGTTGATATGAGGATAGCAGAGGATGGCGATATGAGGGAGGATTTGGAGGAGGGGCATGAGGGGGGGGAGGAAGATGAGGAGGAGGAGGAGGAGGATGAGGAAGAGGAGGAGGATGAGGGAGGGGAAGGGGACGGGTTCAAGGGGGGAGGCTTCCTGGAAGTTTCTGATGATGATGAGGCTGCTGACGAGGCGATTAAGAACTGGATGGAGGAGGAGGGAGGCGATGGGGGGAGCGATTTCAGTGAGGGAGAAGAGGAGGAAGAGGAGGAAGGGGATGGGGGATTTGAGTTTGATTATGATGACATGGATGATTTGCCTGGGGAGGATGCAGTGGGGGATGAGGAGGAAGAGGAGGAATTGGAAGAGGAGGAGGAAGAGGAAGAGGAGGGTGAGGATGAGGGCAAGGGGGAGGGGGCGGGAGAAGAGGGAAAGAGTAACGAGGAAGAACAGGAGGAGGTAGCAATTAAGCCAAGCTCGAGTAAGGGAGGCAGCAGTGGGAAGGCAAAGGAGGAGTGTGCACCGGAGAATGTGAAGAGGGGAGGGAGCAAGAGAGCAACAGATAATCCGAGTGATAAGAGTGAGAACGTGGGGAAGCCTTCAAAGAAGCAGCGGAAAGGGGAAGCGGGGGTTGATGCCGGCGGGGGGAAATTCAAGAAAGAGGACAAGAAGAGCCGTGGTGGAAAGATGAAAGGGGGTTTGTCTAGTAGCCCTTTTGCAGACTTTGATTCGTATGCCCATTTGTTGGATGAATGACTGAATTGAGATGTATTTCTGACGGTTTATGGATATTAGGAAGCTTGACATGCCTTGCTGTTGAGTTATGGAGAAGTACCCATCAGCTTTCTTAGTGCACAATTAACAAAATTTATGCTGGTGTGAAGAATTAAACGTCGTTACGCGCTACGCAACAACGCGTACATAATTGTCATTAGTAGCTCCTTCCTCCCCTGTCCCATCACCCTCGCAGAACCCGCAACAGCGCATTCTCCGCCCGCCTCTTCCGTCCCCCACTTCCGCACCCCCCTATCCGCCACCCTCTTCCGCCCCTCACTTCCGCTTGCATCCTCCTCCGCATCTTCCGCAACCTCCTCGCGTTACGACAATCGCCCCGATTCAAATCCCTAATTTCATTGTCGTTGGCAATTATTATCATTTCCTCTTAGCTGCTCCCCACCTCTAAAGGTTTGCCACGTGTCACCGGGACGCTGCACTCCGCTTACCGATGTTCGCCACGTGGCTGCGCCTCGCGGCCCGTCAGACGCACGTGGGCGAGGCGGCGGAGAAGGGATCAGCGGCGGTGATCCTCCGGATAGTGCGCGAGCACGGACCGTGCAATAAGAACGTGCTATGGACGCATGCAGAGGTAATAATAACTTGCTGTGTTTCCAAAGAGGTATACGAACGTGCAATAAGAACGTGCTATGGACGCATGCAGAGGTACGCGCGGCGATGTGTTTCCAGGGTGCGTTGATTCCATAGATATGTGATTTAGCAAATCTATTGATAAGGGGTATGAGTGTGGCGATTACGAAACACGCAAACGAAAGCAGCGAAAAGGAAATGATGGGAAAAGGCCAGCAGGAGTGTGAGCAGGAGAAAAGATGCTCATAGAATTTATAGTTTTTTGGAAGATGCCAGCTTGAGAATGCGAAGGGTTTGGTCGAGCAGTATTTTCTGCTCGGGAAGAGGATATGCTATGCTAGAGGAAGGGTAGGGGGGGGGAAGGGGGCAGGAATGGTTAAAATGGGGAAAAGGTTTCGAAGAATTTAGTACTTCCCCCCCCCACCCTTTTCCGCCCCACCGACCCCCATTAACCCCATCCCCCTCTCTCCCACCTTCTCCCCCCCAACACCGTTGCATCCGTTGTCACCAGGAGGCACGCGTGAAGAGCAAGAGACACTTTAAGCTCATGCTGCGGTGGCGCATTTAAAAACAGTTTTGTACCCGAATCGTTCACGGGCCATTCGATTGACCTTTGCCATCCCCAAATCTCCCTCTATTCCGAACCCCCCTCCTCTCCCCCCCCTCTCCCCCCCCCCCCCCCCCCGCAACACCCTCTCATCCCTCATCACCAGGAGGCAGGGTTGAAGAGCAAGCGGCACATGAGAAGCTCATGCTGCGGTGGCTCAGGGGAAATCATTCTGGGGTTCTATCAATCATGTGTCTCACACATGACCGGTGTCATGCTTTCTTCTCCCTACCCTTGTCTCCCCTTCCCCCTATCGGCCCCAGGTCCCAGGAGGCGGGCGTAAAGAACAATCGGCACATGACGCTCATGCTGCAGTGGCTCCTGGGGTTTTCTTTACGGGGTTCAATCAATGAAGTGCCTCACACATGACTTGTCGTATAATTTTCTCACTACCCTGTCTCCCCTTCCCCCTCTCGCCTCTCCCCATCAACCTCACATCCGTAGTCACCAGGAGGTGGGCGTAAAGAGTAAGTGGCACATGAAGATCATGGTGTGGTGGCTCAGGAAACAATTCGGGGGTCTAATCAGTCAAGTGCCTTGGATATAAGTGGTGTCATACTCTCTTCTCCCTTCCCTGTCTCCCCTTCCTCCCCTCGCTTCTCCCCATTATCCTCTCTTCCTGCGTCACCAGGAGGCAGGGTTGAAGAGCAAGCGGCACATGAAGCTCATGCTGTGGTGGCTCAGGGGAAATAATTCCGGGGTTTAATCAGTCTAGTGCCTCGCGTATGAGTGGTGTCATTCTCTCTTCTCCCTTCCCTGTCTCCCCTCCCTCCCCACTCCTCTCCCCATTATCCTCTCATCCCGCTTCACCAGGAGGCGGGTGTGAAGAGCAAGCGGCACATGAAGCTCATGCTACGGTGGCTCATGGAGAAGAATCAGATCCGCATCAAGTGCCTCACTCATGACCCCTCAGCGCCACACCAAGCAGGTTCGGCAGGGTCAGCAGGTTCGGCAGCGGCTGCCGCTGCTGCTTCGAGGGGAGCTGGATCGAGTGCCTTTGCTGCTGCGGCAGCGGGTAGAGTGCAACCGGCAGGTGTGAAGAAGAGAGGGACGAAGCATGTCTCTGTAGAGAAGGAATTTATTTACTCCATCGCCCCGAGATATGTTCCACCGAGCTCGTAACAATATTTCATGTCGAGTTTGGATTGTGTCCGATAGATGCTAAGCAGGCTTCTGCATGTATGGGCCTCTCTTCTCTTGCACTAATGAAGCTTCAATACAAAGGGGAAACGTAATTGTTGGAAAAGGTCGAAGTATCATGTGTAAAAGCAATTGATAAAAACTTGTTATTCTGAATCTATACCAAGTCTGCTGCTTTGGTGTAAAACGGATTTGGTCAGCAGCATAACACTTGCGCCAATATTGTTGTCGTCAAGCACCTGGCGACAATCGTCAAGGAGGGGATGGCAGCATTCAGCTCGTTCACGCACGTCCGCACAAATAATTGCGCCGTTGAATGTACAGCATGCATGCATATGTGCAGGGTATTTAGTATTTTACAGAGGTACAATCACACTCGAAGGTGGTTGTTCGTTTACAAACAAGAGGTTGCCCCTTAACCGCACTAGATCACTCCTGATCGTCCTGTGCCAAAGTTCGCCGAGTGAAAGGAATTCTACACCGCCCAGACTGTCAGGACTTCGATTAAATTAGGGCACAGAGGTGTGTTCCGTTCCCCCTCGGGTCAGCAAAACTTTCGTGGACCTTTCGATGAACCCGAGGCCGAGGCTCCAAGAAGCAGCAGTGTCGCACACCACAAACCAATTGATTGACTGATCCCTAACCGAGGAGCGCCCAACGTCTGGCAAACGCTTTCCAATCGACTGCCAACTTGTTGACGCCGCCGAGCCAGTTCTCCCCCTCTTGGTCGGAAAATCGGTTGTCGGAGAATTCGCTCGGTCACTGCAGGAAGTGCGAAGGAGGGACATGGCGGTTCGGCCGGCTCCTTCGAATTTGCGATTTCTCCCGTCATCAACAAGGCTCTTCCCCTGCCCGACCAATGAGGTCTGGCGGGACGCGTTCAACCTGGTCAGGTTAATTAGCCAATCAGCTTCGAACTGTCTCTCGCGGCATTCCCAAGGCAATAAAGCTCCATCCACATTGCCTCCGCAAAAAACCACACAACCGTACGTTACAGATGTTAAACGCAAACAACCCTATCAAACCCAGCTCTTCAGACCAAGCCAACCCAAACATACCTTGGCGAACCAGGCTGAACGGGGCAAGCGGAGCCGTTGAATGTCAGCGCCTCTCATCATCACCCCCGCCAGCAATCTCGTCAGTCCCCGCCAGCGATCCCAGGAACCACTGCCAGCACGCACCAGTTTTCCCCGCTCCCGTGAGATACCACGCTGACTGCACGGAAGACCCCCCTTCCCCTGCGACAAGATACACCACACGCGGAACTCCCCCGCCGCGCCCTCTCTTCCGCGCTCGTCACGCGACCCTCCACTCCAAATCACACTTCCCCTTCCCTCCCCAACAGCAGCACCACTGGTTGAAACCAGGCTGTAAACGTTGGACTGGCCTACTTCCACAGCATTCGGTTGGGAGAGAATCCACAGCAGCACATATAAACCATTCAGACACACCAGCCCCACTCAACTCGACTCTCTCGGTTTTGATAAACTCAAGCAAGCCGTACCAAATTACAGGAAGTCTAGTTCCTCACTGGACTTCTCGGAAGTATCCCCTTGCGCATCGCTATTGTAGGGCCAAGTTCTTTTCATAGTCTTGCGTTTTACCGAGAAGCTTCCTCGCATCTGTTTTTCCTCTCAGCTACTCTTCTCTCGTTCTTTCTCGGTCCTCGGCGAGTGTAACCGAGTGCAGCAAAACCAGCAGAAACAGCAAAAGCGGATACCGGCACTCAAGATGCCGTACTGTGTGATTCCGTCAAATGCAACCAGTGGGAAGGGAAACAACGGAGCGAGTGCGAAAAGGGCAGAAAGCAGCGATGACGGAGAAGTGAAACTGTTCTATGAGACTTATGGCAGCGGCGACACGAAAGTGCTCATGATCATGGGTAAGTGACACGCTGAGGCGCTCAACACGAAATTCGAGATTCATAACACTTTTTATGGCTTGTTTCTATTCTGTTTTGAAGTCTATGCGGAGTGCTGATTTTTCTTGGACAATCAACCTCATCTATTCTTCCAATTTTCTGAATTTGCTACCCCTTGCAGGCTTTGCTGCCTCGCACATTGCATGGGCGCCGCAGATCAAGCCGCTTTCCGGCACCGACATCCCTAACAGCAAACGGATGTCGAAGCAGCTTAAAAGGGATTCTGCTGCAGCGCCAGCCACCGGCTCGGAGGACAACTCCGCCGCTCCCCCCGCCATGCGCATGGACGACCGGTCTGGATGCACGAAAAATGGTTACTGTACGGTTGCGGTGACAAAAGAGGGGGTGGAAGAGCGGAGTGATGTGCAAGCTGTGGCGGACGGTGGGCTTGAGCAAGCGTCTATGCTGCTGGAGGAAGGGGGGAAGGAACAGAGGGAAGCGGAAGGAGGCGCGGAGGAGGAAGGGGAGGATTTGATTCTCACGGGCAGGGAGGTTTGCGTTTTCGACAACCGAGGGATTGGCAGCAGCACGTGTCCCACGGACAAGAATGCGTACACGTGCGTATTTTCTAATGCTGAGCCGTTTTTCTCTCCTCCTCCGCACTGCACACATCGTGGCAACGGATGCATTGCATCTGGTGTCATCGAAGCCATTTTGATGTACACCTAATATGCATTCCATCTTTTCCCCTTTGCTGTAACCACCAGAACTGCAATAATGGCGATGGATGCGCTGCATCTGGCGGATCACCTCGGCTGGACGCATTTCCACGTGGTGGGGCATTCCATGGGCGGCATGATCGCCAGCAAAGTGGCTGCCACCGCTCCCCACCGCGTGAAATCCCTGGCGCTTATCAGCGTCAGCGGCGGCGGCTTCGACCTCTTACCCAGGGTATGCGACCTGGTCGGTGCTCTGTGTGATGCTCTCAAGTGCTTTTGTGCACAAGGCCCATTCTGTCAGTGCTGCACGTGTGAATGCATGCGTGTTACACATGTGGCGGCTTTCTTGAACTCAATTTGGAGCACACTTGGACCGCGTTGCTCACTTCTGTTCCCCTGCGCATTTCTCCGTCCTGGTAACCAGCTTGACAGCCGGCTCTTCTCCGTGGGTGTGAGGATGATGAAGGCGCGCACGCCCGAGATGAGGGCGCACGTGGACCTGGACACGCACTTCTCGAGGGAGTTCATGGACGAGGTGGCCGGCAGCTCTTCAAGGAGGGACCTTCTGCACGTGGTGAGCAGAGCAGCGATGCAACGCTGGCTTCTGCAGCACTCTCTAACGCTGCATGCTTTGTGCATACACCAGCTGGCTCGTATAGACTATTTGGCTGCCCGTTCGAGTTTTGATGCATGACACACGTTCTCAAAACCGACTCGTGTTAGCTCTGTGACCGCTTGCTCAAGTTTTGATGCGCCTCAAAACTGTCTCTTTGGATTGACCCTGTGACTGTCCCTTTTCCTTCCGCCACTCGTGCTTGCAGGAGTACGTGCAGGTTCTGTCGGAGCCAGGGGCAATGCAGCCGCCACACGCAGCGAGCGGGCATTTCAACGCGTGCTGGACGCACAAGCTGACCCGCGACAACATTGACAGCATCTGCAACGCCCGCATCCCCACCGCCGTGATTCATGGAGTGTGAGTAACTCTGTGCTACACCGTGAGAGTCTGAGATGCCCCGTTTGTTGTTTGTTTCACGCATCACACACCCACCCGCATTGCACACACACACCACATCAGTGGCCTTGAGATTTTCCGTTTCCCTCACCTTCTCTATTTCTCTCCTTTCCTTCTCTCTTCCTCCCTGCAGGGACGACATCATTGCACACGTCTCTCTGGGTGAAAGGGTCGCCAAGCGCTTGGCAGAAGTTGCCCGGTTCATCCCCCTAATGGGAGCGCACATGGTGGTGCGGGAGCGCACACACGAGGTGAACGCGTGTCTGAGGGAGCTCTTTCACGCCGGGGAGATGCGCGTGCCCGTGGAGCAGTGGGTGCGGAGTCGTAGCGATTTGGACCTTCCTGGCTCGGCGCGGGAACGACATGAGAAGGCCAAGAAGGAGACGCTTGTGAAGCAATTCAGGCACGGTGCTGCACACTCTCCCTCTGTTTTTCTCTCTAGTTTATGCTTGTTTATCTTCTCTTCTTTTTTCTCACCCCCTCTCTCTCTCTAACAGCCCCACAACTGCTCCTTGCTGGTGCAGGGGTGTTGTTATTTGATGTGCATTTGTTGTCCTTCTCCGTATGCTTCTTCCTCTTTCTATTTCTTTGCAGTACCTTGTGTGCCCACAACGAATCCCATTTTCATCCCCTCTTGTCCCTCTTGTCCCTCTTCCCCCTATTTCCCCTTCTCCCATCCCTTGTCACACCTACAGGGCTCTGCTGTGGAGCCTGTTTCTCCCCCTGTACCTCGTGATCTGCCAGCTACTGTCGTGGCCAGTACCTGACGAAAAGAGCCCAACCTATAAATCCCTGAATGAGGACTCTGACATAAATGATGTGGAATTGGGTCTTGCTGACGCGAGCGATGCAGAATCTGCATCGCTGAGCTGTTGCTGCGGTCCTTGGGGTGCTGGCTTGCTAGGAAATGGTGAATTGAAGTACGGGGAGATTGGGAACGGAGGGTTGAAGGGTGGAGAATGGAGAGGATTTTCTGCTGCTGCTGCTGCTGCTGCTGCTGCTGCTGCTGCTGCTGCTGCTGCTGCTGCATCGGTTGGACCGTCTGGGTTGGAGGCTGGTGTATCTGCAGCTGCCACGTCACCCCTTCTCACCCCTGCAGTTCCGACAATAACAGTTCATGGTTGACGCTAACGACAGTACTGCTTGCTGAGAGTGGAGGGGTGTTCCTGCTGCCGCTGTTGCATCAGTTAGATCATCTGGGCTAGGAGGCCGATGGATCTGCAGCTGCCATGCCATGCCGCTGCCCCTGCCACACCCACAATATAGGTTCATGGTTGACATGACACGACAACGATGCTACCTGATACGAGTGGCCAATTGCGGCTGCTCTCCTCATACTGCCTCTCCATCAAGCTCGATGGATTCAGAGGCAAATAAACGGCCAAGAAAATTTGGCCCACTATCCTAACATAGAGTTTTGTGTTTTCTTACTATGTGTGTGGACCCTGTATAGAATCAATATAATTATTTGAGTTTATTTCAATGTACCAGTAGATCAGCACCACCCTGACGGGATTGTGTTAGACGGGGATAACAACCCTGACTTCCGTTCCGTATCCCTTCTGCCTGTCGGCACCTCCCTCACCGCCACCAGCATTTCTGTCACTCCCCCGCCGCTGACCCAGCCGCCAACACTCACCAAACTCACTCCTCCACGCATTATTCCAGCCTAGATATTTCGTCCAGTCCTGATGACAAACTCGAGCATGACATATCGAATCACTTGAAGTCAAGTTCCTCACTGGACTTTCTCGGGAGTTTCCGCTTGCACAGCGCTAGCTAGTACAAAAGCCTGAACGCTGTCCGTAATCATCGACCCCGTGCCACAGATACCCCGTGCCACACCGACCCGTTCCGTGATAGTACCCAGCTGCTGTTATTGTACAGTCGAGTTGTTTCCACAGTCTTTCATGTTTTCGAAGCTTCCTCTCAGCTACTCGTCTTTCGTGATCCTTTTTTACTCTCGGATTATAGCGTAACCCAATGCAGCAGAAGAAGTAGAAACAGCAAAAGCGGATAAAAGCACTCAAGATGCCGTACTGTATGATTCCGTCAAATGCAAGCGATGGGAAGAGAAACAACGGAGCGAGTGCGGAAAGGGAAGAATGCAGCGATGACGGACAAGTGAAACTGTTCTACGAAACGTATGGCAGAGGCGACACGAAAGTGCTCATGATAATGGGTAAGTGACACGCTGAGGTCTTGGCAATACAAAATAATAATTTCATTACATATTTCAATGGCCTGTTCCTTTTTTGTTTTCATGTGGCAATTTTCTGTCAATCAGTGTCGCGTGTCTTCCTGTCTTCTGAATACGCTACGCGTTGCAGGCTTTGCTGCCATGCACAACGTGTGGTGGCCGCAGATCAAGCCGCTTTCAGGCACCGACATCCCTAACAGCAAACGGACATCGAGGAAGTTTAAGACGAATTCTGTTGCAGCACCTCCCGCTGCAGCACTTTCCGCTGCAGCGCCTCCTGATGCAGCACTTTCCGCTGCAGCACGTTCTGCTGCACCGCCGTCTCCCTCCGCTGAACCGCCGTCTCACTCCGCTGAACCGCCTTCTCCCTCCGCTGAACCGCCGTCTCCCTCCGCTGAACCGCCTTCTCCCTCTGCTGAACCGCCTTCTCCCTCCGCTGCACCGCCCTCTCCCTCCGCTGCACCACCTTATCCTTCCGCTGCAGCACCAGCCGCTGGCTCGGATGACAACGCCGCCGCCCCTCCTGCAGTGTGCATGGCCGACCGGTCTAGATGCAATGGAAGTGGTGACTGTACAGTGAATGTGACAGTAGAGGGGGTAGAGGAGCGGGGAGATGTGCAAGCTGTGTCGGACGGTGGGCTTGAGCAAGCGGCTTTGCGGCTGGAGGAAGGGGGGAAGGAACAGAGGGAAGCGGAAGGAGGTGATGGGGAAAAGGAAGAGGAGGAAGAGGAAAAAAAAGAGGAAGCGGAGGAAGAGCAAGAAGAGGATCTGGTTCTCTCAGGCAGGGAGGTATGCTTGTTTGACAACCGAGGAATTGGCAAGAGCACATGCCCCACGGACAAGAAAGCATACACGTGCGTATTTTCTTTTGTTGCTTTGTGGCATGAGGACGTAGTTATTATTTAAACAGCAGAGGCTTATTGGTTAGGCCAGTCGTTGATCTCATCCGGCAGGTTACACCTCCAGGCACTGTCTTTTCAGCAGACAAAGTGTCTCAGTCCCGCCCATTTTCTTCCCTCCCACCGTTCGCCCTCTCCTCTCCCCAAATCATTTTCATCATTTCTGCTGAACCAACTCAAGGTGCACTTTTCTACTCATTCTCCCCGCGTCCTATCCATCAGGACTAATCTCATGGCGATGGATGTGCTGCATCTGGCGGATCATCTCGGCTGGACGAAATTCCACGTGGTGGGGCATTCAATGGGAGGCATGATCGTGACCAAGGTGGCTGCCACCGCTCCCCACCGAGTGATATCCCTGGCGCTTATCAGCACCAGTCGTGGCGGCTTCGACATCCTGCCTAGGGTACGCAGCTGACAAACTGATTAGCGAGTCTTCTGTGGCATCGGCGTTGGGTCGATCCAAAACTTGAAACCTCTGGCGCTTATCAGCACCAGTCGTGGCGGCTTTGACATCCTGCCCAGGGTATGCAATATGAGCCGTGTTCCGTGGGTTGCGCTTGAATGCCCTTTCTGCACAAAGGTCACTGGACATCCTGCCCAGGGTATATAACCTGGTCGGTAAGACAAACTGGTATGCAAGTCTTCTGTGACATCTTGGCCCGTGTTTCGTGTGTTTCTCTCGAGTGCTTCTGGACAATGCCCATTCTGTCAGGGCTGCACGTGTGAATAAATCTGTGCTGCAGGGTGCAAGCTCCCAGCTGAGCTGCAGGGGTGCGCTGTCACCTAGTGCATTAGCGTCAGCTTCGGCGCCCTCGCAAACTTAGAAGCACATTTTAAAGCACATGGGGACCTTGTTATTCAGTTATCCTGGTTACCCTGCCCCTGCCCCCCTTTCCCCCCCTTCTCTCCCCTCCCTCCCCTTCGTCCTTCCTGACTCCCTCCCCGTCGCCCCTTTCCTGGACGCCAGCTTGATCGCCGGTTCTTCTCTGTAGGTACGAAGCTGGTGACAGCACGCACGCCCGAGTCGAGAGCGCGTGTGGATCTGGTGATGCACTTTTCGGAGGAGTTCCTGCAGCAGATGGTTGGTAGCTCGTCCCAGAAAGACCTGTTGCACCTGGTGAGCAGAAGCATCATTGCAGCACTGACCGGTGAGTGGTTGCGTTGAGGGACGCCTGAGATGAGTTCGCACGGGGACCTACAGATGCACTTCTCAGAGGGAGTTCATGCAGCAGGTGGTGGTTGGCATGGCAGCTCGTCCCAGAAAGACCTGTTGCACCTGGTGAGCAGAAGCAGCATTGCTGGATGATTTGCATATGCCTGTACTGCCTGTAGACACATATCCAGCGCTCTCTAGCACTGGTGGTGCAGCGTTGCAGCACGCGCGCACTAGTACTGACTGCTGCAGTGCTCTCCAGAACTGAATCTGAGGGGCGACACAACCGCCACATGCAGCCAGGCGCCTGGTGGAACGCAACACATGCTTGGAGCCACGTGTCAGTTTTTAGAAGTGTTGAGACATGCATACCGGACTGGCTCGTGTCGGCTCTGCAACTACCAGTCTGAGTCTTGAGACGTCTCGAGACTGACTCGTGTCAATTCTGCGACTGACCGCATTGATGCGTCTCGATACTTACTCAATTGAGTTGTCAGACTTCCCTTTTTACTTTCATTCGCCCTCCTTGTGTGTGCAGGAGTACATGCAGTATCTGTCGGAGCCAGGCGCAATGCAGGCGCCACACGCTACCAGCGGGCATTTGAACTCCTTTAGCGAGACCTACTTGTGTTGGATGCGCCCATGTTAACTCTGTACCTCCCCCTTTCCCTCCGCCTGTCCCCCATCCTGCTCTCCTGGTGCTTGCAGGAGTACGTGCAGAATCTGTCGGAGCCAAGGGCACTGCAGGCGCCACACGCTACCAGCGGGCATTTGAACTCAATTATGCAGCTCTACTCATTTTTTAGGCGCCTCAAAAAACAATTATGCAGCTCTACTCATGCTGGACGCACTCGTGGTAACCGTGTACCTCTCCATCCCGCCGTCATCGAGCGTGCAGGAGTACGTGCAGAATCTGTCGGAGCCAAGGGCACTGCAGGCGCCACACGCTGCCAACGGACATTTGGATTCAACTAGCAACTCCTACTTATGCTGGATGCACTTGTGCTAACCGTGTACCTCTCCATTCCCCTCCTTGTGCGTGCAGGAGTACGTGCAGTATCTGGCAGAACCAGGGGCAATGCAGGCGCCACATGCTATTCTTGAGGCGCCTCATTTTTTTTCTTCCACCCTCCCTCCTGGTTCGTGCAGGAGTATGTGCAGTATCTGTCGGAGCCAGGGGCACTGCAGGCGTCACACGCTACCAGCGGGCATTTCAACGCTGTTTGGACGCACAAGCTAACCCGTGAGAACGTCAACAGCATCTGCCACGCTCGCATTCCCACAGCCGTGATCCATGGAGTGTGAGTGTCTCTATTCTATACTGACAAGGCCAAGGGAAGGGAGCGGCGTGTGAAATCATGAGGTGGCCAAGCCATTATCTTAATGTCTTTCTGCCTGCTGCCTTCCAGGGATATTTTTTTTTTTTTGCCAAGCGCTTGCCAACAGTGGCTCGATTTCTTTCGCTGTTGGTTGAGAATCACAGGGCAGTGCAGGAAGAACCACACGGCTGGTCCAACGAACACCAAATTCCTGCTAAGCGTGCACTAACCTGGACTGACCTGCTTCTCTCCCCTTCCTTCGCTCTTCCTCCTTTCCACCTCCCTGCAGCGACGACATTGTTGCTCACGTCTCTTTGGGAGAGAAGGTGGCTAGGCGCTTGGCATTGCACGGTTTGCTCACCCTCTCCATTTCCCTCCCTTCTCCCTTCCTCCCTGCAGGGACGACATTGTTGCGCACATCTCTTTAGGTGAGAAGGTGGCCAGGCGCAGCGCCTGGCATCTGTAGCACGGTTCGCTCACCTCCTCTATTCCCGTCTTCTCCTTCTCTCTTCCTCCTCGCTCCCCTCCTCCCTGCAGGGACGACATTGTTGCGCACGTTTCCCTGGGTGAGAAGGTGGCCAGGCGCCTGGCACCCGTAGCCCGGTTCATCCCACTTCTAGGGGCGCACATGTTGGTGCGGGAGCGGATAGAAGAGGTGAACGCGTGTGTAGAGGAGCTGTTTGAGGCTGCGGAGGCATGTGTGCCTGTGGAGCAATGGGTGCAGCGTCGCAGTGACATATACCTGCCTGACTCGGCGCGGGAGCGGCATGGGAAGGCCAGGGCGAGGAAGCTCGTGACGCAATTTAGCCATGGTGCTGCTCGTTCCCTTTTTGGGCTCACTCGATTTGCTATTTTCATTTATTTTCTTTTCTTCCATATTGCCTTAGTAGAAAAATTTCATGCTGTGTGGTTCTTCTTCTTCTTGGTTTGCTGTCGCTCTTTGTGTTGTGTTCCATGCTGTGGTGTGTGTTGAAATGTGCCGTATTGTGCTCTGATTCTCTGTCCCCTCTGCCCTGCATTGCCCCATCACCCTAAACCCGAAGCCCTGTTCTATTTCCGTACCTCATTCAAACATGCCCTCACAGTATCCCGCCGCTCTTTTGCACCCTTTTTTCCCCCAACCTCCTTCCCTATTGTCACTCCTACAGGGCTGTGCTGTGCACCCTGTTTCTCCCCCTCTACCTCCTGACCTGGCAGCTGCCATCGTGGCCTTCACCCTATGAACAGAGCCCAACTTACACATCTTTGAGTTAGGACTCATAAATGAACGACGTGGAGTTGTGTGTTGATGAGGCGAATGGAGCACAATCTGCGTCTCTGTGCTGTTGCTGCCAACCTGGTGATTTAAAATATGGGGAGCATGGGAACACAGGGTTGAAGGGTGGAGAATGGAAAGGAAATTCTGCTGCTGTTGCTGCTGCTGCACCGGTTGGACCATCTGGGTTGGATGGAACCAGATACATCTGCAGCTGCCACGTCGCCCCTTTTAGCTCCTGCTGTTCCCACAAGAAAGGTTTATGGTTGACACTGACGATGATACTGCTTGCTGACAGTGGAGGGGCTTTGCTGCTGCTGCTGTTGTTGCTGCTGCCGGCGCTGCTGTTGCTGCTTCTGCCGGCGCTGTTGTTGCACCAGTTAGACCGTCTTGGTTGCAACTCAATGCATCTGATGCATCTGATGCATCTGCAGCTGCCACATCGCCCCTACTCACTCTTGCCGTTCCCACTATTATGGTCCATGGTTGACAGTGAGGATGAGTCAGTGGATGGGCTTCGCTGCTGCTGCATTGGTTAGAGTTAGACCATCAAGTTTGGAAGCCAATGCATCTGCAGCTGCCACATCACATCACCCTCCACGCTCCTGCCAATTCCACAATAATGGTTCATGGCTAACAGTGACAACTTCAGTGCCTGATACGGTAAGGGTGGCCAGCCTTATAAGGGTGACGACTTCAGTGGCTTGTTATCTTAAGCTGTGCCTGCTCTCCGTATACTGCCTCTCCGTCAAGCTCTATGTATACGGAGGCAAATAAATGGCGAAGATAATCTGCCTTGCGGCGTTTGAAGCGCCATATCCGACATAGCATTTGTTGTGTAGAGAATGTGTGTGCATTCAATATATAATGGTAATGAATAAATTTCAGCAGAAATATGAAATGTTTGAAAAAAACGCAGAATATTTGCAAAATAAGTGTTAACTTCCCTCCACTAAGTACATATTTGTTACAACTCGGCCAATGTGGTATATTGGTTTGTGAAGATTACACTACGGTAGCGATGTACCATGTAAACTATTGGAATGGAACTGTCACTCCCTGTCATTTCACCCCAAACCAAGTTTGATCCATGTCATACCTACCATAAGGGAGTCCAGAACGGCAAGTCTGACGGTTTGCTGCCCAAACCGACAGCAGGCATATTCATCATGTCGACCGCAACATTCTCCTTCGTGCGGCTCGACGTTAAAGCTTTCGTATACATTTGAAAAAGGGAGGTTCAAAAGTTTTGAAATTTGAAATATTGGTAACCCAGAAACAGCTAGTTTCACTCGCTTCACAAGGGAGGTGATCTCCCCGTCACCCAGGGCTCACTGGTGATTCAAAACTTTTGGAATAACAAAAGTAAACGAAATCCAGTCCATGTGAGATCTACGCCACTACGCTCAACAGGCAGCATAAATCGTAGCAAAGCACATCGCGACAACAGCCAGCGCAAATCACTCCCGTTTCCGACACAAACTTAGACGCGTGGGGCAGTTTAGTGTAATTACACGTCCGAGCCAACGTCAGTTCCGCCCTCTAACACGGCGAGCCCGCCGGACCCCTTCTCACAGCCTCGCCTCGTCGTCCGTCGCGTTGCCTCACCACGCGGCCTCCTCACGCCACCATGAACGCGCACGCTGCGTCTCAAACTGCCGAACACGCACGATCACAGTCGCTTCCCGATCGCGCGACCTCGCTACCACGTTTCCGCAGTAGCGGCGGCAGCCGCAATTGAGGTGTCGCGAGGGTAATCAGAAACGATTGCTCCCCATTACCTCTTCCCGCCTCCCCGTTTCCCCTTCCCGCCTCCCCAATTCCCCTTCCCGACACCCCATTTCCTCTTCCCGCTCCCCACTACCCCTTCGCGCCTCCTCGTTTCCCCTTCCCGCTCCCCATTACCCCTTCCTGCCTCTGCAATTCCCCTTCCCGCCACCCCATTTCCTCTTCTCGCTCCCCATTATCCCTTCCCGCCTCCTCGTTTCCCCTTCCCGCTCCCCATTACCCTTTCCCGCCTCCCCAATTCCCCTTCCCGCTCCCCATTACCCCTTCCCGCCTCTCCAATTCCCCTTCCCGCTCCCCATTACCCCTTCTCGCCTCCCCAATTCCCCTTCCCGCTCCCCACTACCCCTTCCCTCCTCCCCGTGACCCCTTCCCGCTTCCCCATTACCCCTTCCCACTCCCCATTTCCCCTTCCCGCCTCCCCAATTCCCCTTCCCGCCTCCCCGCTTCCCCTTCCCACTCCCGATTATCCCTTCTCGCCTCCCTTCTCAAACTGCCGAACACACATCACAGTCGCCGCCCGATCGCACAGCCTCGCTACCACGTTTCCGCACTAGCCGCGGCAGCCGCACTCTCATTTCCCCCCTTGCAGACTCTCATTTTCCCCCTTGCTCACTCTCATTTCCCCCCCATGCTCTCCCTCATTCCTCCCCCCTTCTCCCTCTCATTCCCCCCATGAAGCCCCTCATCCCCCCCTTTCTCCCTTCCCCCTCTTATATCTCCCCCTACTCCCTCTCATTCCCCCCATGAAGCCCCTCATTCCCCCCCTTTCTCCCTCTCATCCTCCCCCCTGCTCACTGTTATGTCCCCCCTTCTCTCGCTCATGTACCCCCCTTCTTCCTCTCATTTCCCCCCCTTATCCCTCTCATTCTCCCCCCTGCTCCTTCTCATTCCCCCCTTAACCACTCAGTTAAATGCCACATAACCTCCCTCTCATTTCCCCGCATTCCCCCCCCCTTCCCCCTCTCGTTTCCCCCCATCTCCCTCTCCTTTCCCCACGTGCTCCTTCTCATTCCCCCCCCCTTCTCCATCTCGTTTCCCCCCCGCTCATTTCCCCCCATCTCCTTTCATTTTCCCCCCTTCTCCCTCTCATATGCTTCTAACCCCTACCGTACCCTTGGATGATCGCATGCCATACTCATCCATCCGCTGCCATACACCGCCACACCCTTCCATCTCCTCCCATACCCTTCCATACGCCAGCCAAGCCCGTCCCTCATTCTGCCATACCTTGCCATACTCTGCCATACCTTTCCTTCCCTAGCGTAAGTGTACCATTCCCTTCCATACCCCAGCCATACCCATCCATCCCCTGTCATACCCTTCCATTCCCTTCCATACCCTTCCATACCTTCCATTCCCTTCCATACCCTTCCATTCCCTTCCATACCCTTCCATTCCCTTCCATACCCTTCCATTCCCTTCCATACCCTTCCATACCTACCATTCCCTTCCATACCCCAGCCATACCCTTCCATACCCTTCCATTCCCTTCCATACACTTCCATTCCCTTCCATACACTTCCATTCCCTGCCATTCCCTTCCATTCCCTGCATTCGTGCACAGGCATATGACTAGTCACGTGATTGGTATCGAAGAATCCAGGGTTGGGTGATAAAGGTTATGTATATAGTGATACAATTGTAAGGACTTTTTTTATAAAACATGTTGTGAGGCTACGAGCTTGATTTTGGTCCTGAAGTGCCAAAAATGTACTAGAGTTGGGAGTGTATGCATGCTTCTTGAATCACAAGTGCATAGTAATAAATACGCAGGGAGCTGCCGCACAAGTTGGCGGCTGCTGTTGTATGCCTGGCGTTGGTGTGCAGCAGAGGGGAGCGATGCATTGTGTGCTGCTTGGTGGACCTGCCGGTGAGAGGAGTGGGGGGGGTCAGGGCTGAGAAAGGGACGAGGAAGGGGAAAAAGAAGGCACATATCAGGGTGAGCTCAACCAAAGCCTGGAGAGAGTGCCCTTAGTCATCCAAGTGGCGTGAAAACGGTTGTCTAGGCAAGTCCCAAGGCATGCGATGGGACGCGCACAGTACCTGAGAGGCGTGAACGATGGGACAAAACTTGAGATGAGTCGAGCTCGCTTGCACGCACCATCTGCCGCAACAGCCTCGCTACCTCCTCCTTCTCCCTCTCCCTCCGCCTCGCTTCCTCATCGAGCCTCACACCCTGCTCGCTCCCCAGTCCACTGCTGACATGGCTGCTTCGATAGTGTGCACCCAGCGTGAGAGACCCGGCATGCTGCATCTCCTGCGGCTTGCGCACTCATGAGCGCGCTCGGCTGTGAGACCGCAGCAGGGTCCACTCGCTCTTGGTTCTGCTGTTGCTGCCCATGCACCTGCCGCTGTTCTTGCAAGATCATCCCAGCTCCAACTCCTCGTGGGAGCTGCTGCTACATTTGCTCCACAAATGCTAGGTCCAGTAGGAGCTCAATCCGCAGGAGCAGAAGTATGGTCAGAACCGGGGCAGTTGCAGAGTCACACGGGTTGGGGCCAACAGCCGGCGTCGGCAGTCCATAGTCAAAGGAGTGGGGCGAACAATCCTCCCCACTGGCTGCTCCTCGCCTCATGTCTCCTCCTCCTCCACCATGCCTTCCCCTCCTTTCCTGAGCTACCTCCTGCTCCGGGGGGAACACCAAAGGAAGGAACACTGGGTGTGGCAGCAGAGGCAGCTCCGGCAAAGGCAGCAGCGGCGGCAGTATGGGCAGGGACTGAAGGAGCGAGTGGGATCTCATGGGAGGTGAGATGACCCTGGAAGGAGGGGGGATGAGAAATTAAGGCATGGCGATGGGAGAGCGTGGAAGGGAGAATGGAAGGGAGCGAGTGGGGGGCAGTATTTTGCAAGGGATCCACCCTGTAAGGGAGGGAAGATGAAAAGGACGGGAGGGCAGTGGGGCTATGCCAGAGCTGGGAGGGAAATGAAGGGGAGCAAGGTGGGAAAAATAAGGGGAGAAGGGGGGGAAATGACGGGGAGCAAGGTGGGGAAAATAAGGGTTTAGGTTGGGAAATGAAGGGGTGAAGGAGGGAAATGAGAGGGAAGCGGGGAAGCGAGAGTGAGCAAGGGTGGAAGTGAGAGGCGGCAAGGGGGGAAATGAGAGGGAGGAGGGGGAGAGATGAGAGGAGCAAGGGGGGAAATGAGAGGGAGGAGGGGGAGAGATGAGAGGAGCAAGGGGGGAAATGAGAGGGAGGAGGGGGAGAGATGAGAGGCGGCAAGGGGGGAAATGAGAGGGAGGAGGGGGAGAGATGAGAGGAGCAAGGGGGGAAATGAGAGGGAGGAGGGGGAGAGATGAGAGGAGCAAGGGGGGAAATGAGAGGGAGGAGGGGGAGAGATGAGAGGAGCAAGGGGGGAAATGAGAGGGAGGAGGGGGAGAGATGAGAGGAGCAAGGGGGGAAATGAGAGGGAGGAGGGGGAGAGATGAGAGGAGCAAGGGGGGAAATGAGAGGGAGGAGGGGGAGAGATGAGAGGAGCAAGGGGGGAAATGAGAGGGAGGAGGGGGAGAGATGAGAGGCGGCAAGGGGGGAAATGAGAGGGAGGAGGGGGAGAGATGAGAGGAGCAAGGGGGGAAATGAGAGGGAGGAGGGGGAGAGATGAGAGGAGCAAGGGGGGAAATGAGAGGGAGGAGGGGGAGAGATGAGAGGAGCAAGGGGGGAAATGAGAGGGAGGAGGGGGAGAGATGAGAGGAGCAAGGGGGGAAATGAGAGGGAGGAGGGGGGGAGATGAGAGGAGTAAGGGGGGAAATGAGAGGGAGGAGGAGGGGAAATGAAGGGGAGCAGTGGGGGAAGTGAGAAGGAGCAGGAGGGGAAATGAGGGGGAGCAGTGGGGGAAGTGAGAAGGAGCAGGAGGGGAAATGAAGGGGAGCAGTGGGGGAAGTGAGAAGGAGCAGGAGGGGAAATGAAGGGGAGCAGTGGGGGAAGTGAGAAGGAGCAGGAGGGGAAATGAAGGGGAGCAGTGGGGGAAGTGAGAAGGAGCAGGAGGGGAAATGAGGGGGAGCAGTGGGGGAAGTGAGAAGGAGCAGGAGGGGAAATGAAGGGGAGCAGTGGGGGAAGTGAGAAGGAGCAGGAGGGGAAATGAAGGGGAGCAGTGGGGGAAGTGAGAAGGAGCAGGAGGGGAAATGAGGGGGAGCAGTGGGGGAAGTGAGAAGGAGAAGGAGGGGAAATGAAGGGGAGCAGTGGGGGAAGTGAGAAGGAGCAGGAGGGGAAATGAGGGGGAGCAGTGGGGGAAGTGAGAAGGAGCAGGAGGGGAAATGAGGGGGAGCAGTGGGGGAAGTGAGAAGGAGCAGGAGGGGAAATGAAGGGGAGCAGTGGGGGAAGTGAGAAGGAGCAGGAGGGGAAATGAAGGGGAGCAGTGGGGGAAGTGAGAAGGAGCAGGAGGGGAAATGAGGGGGAGCAGTGGGGGAAGTGAGAAGGAGAAGGAGGGGAAATGAAGGGGAGCAGTGGGGGAAGTGAGAAGGAGCAGGAGGGGAAATGAGGGGGAGCAGTGGGGGAAGTGAGAAGGAGCAGGAGGGGAAATGAGGGGGAGCAGTGGGGGAAGTGAGAAGGAGCAGGAGGGGAAATGAAGGGGAGCAGTGGGGGAAGTGAGAAGGAGCAGGAGGGGAAATGAGGGGGAGCAGTGGGGGAAGTGAGAAGGAGAAGGAGGGGAAATGAAGGGGAGCAGTGGGGGAAGTGAGAAGGAGCAGGAGGGGAAATGAGGGGGAGCAGTGGGGGAAGTGAGAAGGAGCAGGAGGGGAAATGAGGGGGAGCAGTGGGGGAAGTGAGAGGGAGAAGGGGGGGAAATGAAGGGGAGCAGTGGGGGAAGTGAGAAGGAGCAGGAGGGGAAATGAGGGGGAGCAGTGGGGGAAGTGAGAAGGAGCAGGAGGGGAAATGAGGGGGAGCAGTGGGGGAAGTGAGAGGGAGAAGGGGGGGAAATGAGGGCGAGAAGGGGGGGGGGGGTTGAGGGAGAAAAGGGGGGGAATGAGGGGGAAGAATGGGGGGAATGAGGAGGAGAAGGCTGGGAAATGAGGGGAAGAATGGGGGGAATGAGGGGGAGAAGGGTTAGAACTGAGAGGGAGAAGGGGGGAAAATGAGGGAGAGAAGGGGGGGAAATGAGGGAGAGAAGGGGGGAAAAATAGGGGGAGAAGGGGGGGAAATGAGGGGGAGAAGGGAGGCAAGTGGAGAGGGAGTAGGGGGGGTTGTGAGGGGGAGAAGGGGGGAGGGGGGGTAATTAGAAGAGGATGCGCTTAGCGGGAGAGGCGCTATGCGGGCGCTAAGCGGGAAAGGCGCGCAGCGGGTGCGGCGCTAAGCGGGAGAGGGTGAGGCGACACGCGGGAAAGGCGCACAGGGGGTGAGGCGCGAAATGAGAGAGGCGCGCAGCGAGTGATTCGTTGCGCGGGAGAGGCGCGCAGCGGTTGCGGAGCTAAGCGGGAGAGGCGCGCAGCGGGTCAGGCGCTAAGCGGGAAAGGCGCGCGGCGAGTGATACGCTAAGCGGCATGGCGCGCAGAGGGTGAGGCGCTAAGCGGGAGAGCTCCCAGCATTGGAGGCGGTAAGCGGGAGACCCGCGCAGTGGGTGAGGCGCTAAGCGGGAAATGCCTACCGAGCGGGTGTTGAGAGTGGCGGCGTGGCCAACGCATGGAACGATGCGATCCCGCCGTCGGCTCCGTAATTTTCAATCGGCTTACTCGATCGCACCTACCCAGCGTGGTGATGCAACCCGTCGAGGCGCCCTTGACAGGGCTTCGACGGGGCCCATCAATGCAGCACGACGCGCTCGACGAATGCAGAGCCTTTCCCTCTCCGATTGCCGCTGAACGGCGCAGCAGTGGAAAGGAGCTGGCGTGCAAGCTAGATGTATTTTCCCACTCGCACAAGCCTATAATGTTACCTAAACTCATCTCACATGAGAATATCTGAGCGGTGTCGATGCTCCGCATGTTCTTTGTCGCGCCCCGGTTCCTCTATCTATGCTTAGCGTATGTTAGTCACATATCATGGTTCCTAGTGAAATCTGACTCCAAGGTTGGGTGACGGGGGAGTTTCCTGTGTTTGGAACTCCTCAAAGCTGCAATTTTTCGCCAAACCTCTCGCCACGCTCAGTTGTTTCGTTCTGGCGAATTTTTCCCTGGCTACAGTGCAAGTCCAAACAGTACTTGCAAATGTATACGAAAGCTTTAAAGCCGGATCGCTGTACCGTTCCTTGCTCCCAGCCTCTTCGTTTACCCCCAACCCCGCACCTGTTCGAACACTCGTTCCCGCATTCTCGCGATCGTTTAAGCACGTCAGCAGCCGTCGGCCAATCAGGAGGACTGGAGTGGTTGCGATGGCGTCGCCACGGGGACGGGGGTCGGGGTCGAATCTGGAAGACGCGGCGCGGCAGCTGGTGAGGGACAATTGACCGCAAAACGTTAAGATCCAATGGGAGATGCAAATGTAGGTAGGAGATGTTACGCTATAACCACAGACGTTGACGCGATCAGGCGACCTTCTCTCCGCCCGTACCCCTACGGCTACAACCAGTTCCAAATAAAACTTAGAAACCGTCGTATTCCTACAAGACTTTGTTCCTCTCGAGCTGCTGCGGCTGCATTCTCCCACCAGTATCCCCTCTCTTCTCTCCCGTACCCCTTGTCCCGTTCCCCTCACCCAGTCATCCATCATTGCCGCATCTTCTCTATCACTTCCCCCTCCTCTCACTCCCCCCTCTTCTCACTTCCTCCGCCTCTCACTTCCTCCGCCTCTCACTTCCTCCGCCTCTTACTTCCTCCGCCTCTCACTCCCCCCGCCTTTTAATGTTTCTTCAAGCTGCTGCGACCACATTCTCTCGCCGCGCTTTCCCCTTGCTCTCCCCTTCCCCCCTCTCCTCCCGTTTCCGTCCCCTCTCCCTCCCTTCCCCTCTCCCCTTCATTTCGCGCCCACCCTCTTCCTCCTCTTTCTCGGCCCTCCCCCTCCCCCTCTCCTTTCCAGCCACCCAGCATTGGTCAATCTTCTCCTCCCACTCCCTCTACCTTTCCTATCGAAGAAAAAACTCGTGCTGAATGGGAAAACAGCAAATAAACTGCCAATGAGTTTTACACTTTTTTGTTTTTGTTTTTTTGTTTTTTCCTCGCCGTTTTGCCCCATCCCCTTCTCATTTTTCAGGTGGACGATTTTGTCCGTAGTGGCATGGTGGTGGGGGTGGGATCAGGCTTCGGTTCCTCTCTCGCTGTCACCCACCTCATTAGCAAGATCGAGAGCGGATCGCTGCGAGATATTATCGCCGTTCCTACGTAAGCTCAAGTTCTTCATGAGTGTATTTTTTGTTGAAGCCTAACCTACAAGTGGTGCCATTGCTGCCGCATGCGCCGGCTCCTCTCTCGCCGTCACCCACCTCATCAGCAAAATTCAGAGCGGATCGCTGCGAGACATCGTCGCAGTGCCCACGTAAGCTACCTTGTGCCTCATTGACCGTGCTTTGAGGAGTTGAAGCATGCCTACAAGAAATGGCATTGCTGCCGTTCACTGCGGCTCCTCTCTTGCTGTCACCCACCTCAGGAACAAAATTCAGAGCGGATCGCTGCGAGACATTGTCGCTGTGCCCATGTAAGCTCAAGTGTGGCACTTTTTGACTCCCCTCAACAACTTCTTCCTTCGTGGTTTTTTTTGTTTCTTTTTTTTTCTTTTTGCGCTTCTGTTTTTTTTGTTCCTAAGCTGTTTTTCCACGCAAATAAGTCAAATAACTAAATTTGTACTGCATACATATATTGTTTCTTTATGATGCTTGGAATGATGCATGGCATGGCAGCACGGCAGCAGCAGCAGCGGAGCTCGCTCAAGCAGGAGTCGTGATGTCAACACTCGAGGAGCATCCCAAGGTATTCCTGCCTTTTCTTTTGAGACACATCCCAAGGTATCCCAAGGTCCCTCACATTAGAAGCCCCCTCACGTCCAAACTTCCCTCGCCTCAAAAGGTCCCTCACATGCGCCTTGAGTCATCATTTTCTCTTCACGCAGCAGCTCAAGCAGAATTCCAAGGTACTCACTTCCTTTTGAGTCACATTCAAAGGTTCTTCTTTCCCGTTCGAATCACGTTCAAAAGTTTTGCATCAGGAGTCGAGGGAACGTTTTTTTGTCACATTTGATTGTTTTTTTTTCCTCCTAACCCCGTCCTCCTTTTTTTCCCTGATCGATTTGATTTCGCCTTCACGGATGCAAACGTGGTGCAAGAGTGAACGCTCTTTTGAGGCGCCTCAAAACTCTTCTTTGTCATCTATACCCCCCCTCACCCCTCTCCTCTCAGCTCGATTTCGCCTTCACAGATTCAGACGTGGTGCAGGAGCAAACTCTCTTTTCTGTCATCTACACCCTCCCATCTCCCTCCCCCATCCCCCACCTACCGGCTCCCTCCTAGCTAGACAGGTGCGGATGTGGTGCAGGAGGAATCACTTTCCTCTGTCATCCACACCCTCCCATCTCCCTCTTGTCCCCCCCCCACCCTCCCCACCAACCCCTCCCACCCTTCTCCAACCCCCTCCCCCGCTCAGTTCGATTTCGCCTTCACAGATGCAGACGTGGTGCGGGAGAGAACACTCTTCTCTGTCATCCATCCATACCTCCCATCTTTCCTCATTCATGTCTCCTTATCTGTCTTTTCCCCTCCCCGTAACCCCCCTCACCCCTCTCCTCTCAGCTTGATTTCGCCTTCACAGATGCAGACGTGGTCCAGGAAGGGACACTCTTCTCTATCATCGGTCGGCGCATCCCAACCAAACGAGGCTCGGTTCTCAAAGAGAAGGTGGGTGAGCTTTGACCTTTCATTTCACACGCATCTGCTGTTCGAATCTGAGTAATCTCCTTTGATGTTTACGTTCTTTCTTTTGCCCTTTTCTTTTTCTTTTTCTTTTTTCAGCCGAACTCTTCCAGTGAGAACTTGGCTGGTTTCAACTTTTACCTTCATTTTTTCCCTCTATGCTTGCTTTTGCTTTTCCATGTTCCCTGCCATTTCTGCTGCAGTAGGCTGTGGCTCGGGCAGCTGAAACTTTCGCTGTGATTGTGCCCGAGAAGCACTTTGAGGAGGGTCTGATTGACGGGGAAGTGCCCGTTGAAATCGAGCAGGTGAGGGGCAGAATGAATGAGGGCAAGTAAGTTGTGAGGGGCGAATCAGTTTTCAAAAGCAGGAGTGGTGGAATCATGGTAAGGGTTGAGTTGAGGGTCAAAAGAATCTCCAAAAGAATGAGGGACGTAGCAGAGGATTTGGCGATCCACACACAACACGTCATGCTCTTTCCCACCAGGAGCACTGGCTAGACATTGCAGAGGTAATGGGCGATCTGTTCCTGGGGGATGCGGAGGTGTGGCGGCGACCTACCAGTTGCACATTCAACTCGGGGATCCCTCAGCAACCCCCCCTTTCCTCACCATCTGCGGCACACACGCTCTGTTTCTAGGAGCACTGGTTGGTTGAACATAGCAGAAGAAATCGATGATCTGTTCCTGGGGGATGCAGAGGTGTGGCGGAAGCCCACCAGCGGCACACCGTGTCCTCTCCCGGGCTCTCTTTGTCACCCAGCCAACCCCACTGTCCTCTGCACACATGCTCTTTCCCTCCAGGAGCACTGGTTGGACATAGCAGAGGAGATTGGCGATCTGTTCCTGGGGGATGCAGAGGTGTGGCGGCGACCCACCAGCGGCACACAGTCTTCGAACCCCCAATCCCCGCCCTCTCTCCCACCACATGCACAATTTCTTTACAGGAGCACTGGTTGGACATAGCAGAGGAGATTGGCGATCTGTTCCTGGGGGATGCAGAGCTGTGGCGGAGGCCTACCAGCAGCACACTCATTACCCTCTTAAGCTCTCGTCGTCCCTCCCCCCCTCTTCCCTTTTCTCACAGGAGCACTGGCTGGACATAGCAGAGGTGATCGACGATCTGTTTCTGGGGGATGCAGTGGTGTGGTGTGGCGGCGGCCCACCAGCGGCACACTCATTAACCTCCCAGACTCGCGTCCTTACCCCTGTTGTGCTTCCACCAGGAGCACTGGCTGGACATAGCAGAGGAGACGACCTGTTCCTCGGGGATGCGGAGGTGTGGCGGCGACCCACTAGTGGCATGCACGCACACTCCCAAACCCCACCCCCTCCCCTGTCACATTCACTTCCACCAGGAGCACTGGCTGGACATAGCAGAGGAGATTGACGACCTGTTTCTCGGTGATGCGGAGGTGTGGCGGCGACCCACGAGCGGCACAGCAGGGCCATTGGGAGGAGAGTTCCCTCTGGTCACTGAAGGCGGGCACTTTGTGCTGGACGTCATCTTCACGACTCCCATCGCAGATATGTGAGTTGAGTGATTGGGAGGCATGTGCTTATACGGGGTCTGACTGCTTAAGCGGGCCGTTGGGAGGAGAGTTCCCTCTGGTGACTGAAGGCGGGCACTTAGTGTTGGACGCCATTTTCACGAACCTGGTTTTGAGGCGCCTCAAAACTGAACGCGGGCACTTAGTGTTGGACTGGACGTCATTTTCACGAACCCCATTTCTGATATCAGTGAGTTGTTGGGAGGAAGGAAATGTCACACGATTTTTGAGGTGCGTGAGCTTAAAAAAACCATCGCTGATATGAGTGAGTGATTGGGAGGAAGGAAAGAGTAGCATGGGAAAGCCGTTGATGGGGGGGGAGTTGTGTTTGGCCACTGTTGGCGGGCATTTTGTGTTGGATGTCCTTTTCACGCCCCCCATTGCTGAAATGAGTGAGTGATTGTAAGGAAGGCATTGTTTGTATGCGTCGGGTTGTTTGGGATCTTAGCAGTGGCACAGCAGGGCCGTTGGGGAAGGAGTTCCCTCTGGTGACTGAAGGCAGGGCTTTCGTCTTGGATGTGAATTTTACTATTCCCATTTACGATTTTCCCTGCACCAACCTGACAGGGGATGTTGCTCGCCAGTTAGAGTCTCTGCCGGGAGTCGCAGCACATGGCATTCTTCTCGACGAAGCGTATGTATATTATATTCGCCCTAGCTCTATGTGTGTATTCTCAACTCCCATGGCCGTTCAAGCGTTGTATGTTCATATGTTTTCACATTGTTCTCATCTTCAGCGTTGTTAGACCGAATTCATGATTCCGCAAGATAATGTTTGTTTTCAGGTATGCCGCATCGGTGGCGACCGCGGAGGGGGTGAAAATCCGGACATCAATATTCAAGGAATCCTTCACACCTTCCGAGTCTTGAGAAACGCATTGAGATGTCAAGGCCTATCACCTTGAGTATCTGGCTTGTGCTGCTGAATGTAGTACGAAACATAGCTCAACAGAATCTCGCATCTCGAGGGCTCATTTCTGAACTTACCACTAGACTTTCCGACAGGCTTCATTTTGAAGTGCGTGTCAGGGGGAACCTGCTGTGCTGTCCGTTCTCAGTTCGAATTTTGAAAATTATTTCCCTAAGTGGCATGTGACACTGCACTCCCACAGAAAAACGAACCCGCTATCCAGCGCTCTCATGTGTTGTGGAATTCCCAAGGTACAGCACCTTGGAAATTCCACCACAGCAGTAGCATGCTCTCCCCAAACCAACCCAAGAATGCTTCGAGAGAACAGCAGCCAGCAGCAATTCCTAGGGTGTGTTAGGGAGAAGTGCAGCATCCAAGTCGTACATTAGCCTGGCAACATCCGTCGTTCGTGACTTAGCCTCGATGCTGCTGCCGTTCTAATCTCCAATCGCTCACGCACCGCAACTCTTTTTAATGTGCTTGTATCCTAGCACGAGAAAAGTACCCCACATTGTCGAGTTTTCACGGCACCCGTGGCTGCGTTCCGTAGCAGCTGAATGTTGCTGGAGGGGTTAAAAATCTCATGCAGTAATTTATCGGGTACCTCTCAATACTAACTTATCGTGCCTGCCCTTTACTAGTGGGTCATGGCGATGAATGCACCCAGTGACGAGTCACGCGAGCTGGAAGACCGCCACGTGGCAGTCTCCGAGACATCGATTCCGGAGACATCGTCGTTGACGGACCCCCTGCTGACGCGTCGCGAGGTAATGCGCTGCGCATTACGGCATAACAGTGATGGGTGCCCAGCCTTGCTGCAAACCTGATTTCCGTGCGGCGGTTGGCAAAGGCCGGCATGGACACGAACTCGAAGGGAGCCAAGACCTACACCGCAAGGCTTGGCGATCGAATTCTTTGGGACCTTCATGAGGACAGGGATGTCTACAACGAGATGTGGCAGATCCCAGTGGTCCCTATGCCTAAGGAGAGGCAAGTGGCAGCAAGCATCAGCACCAAGGATGGAGCGGTCGGTAGCGACGATGGCGCGAACGGTCGCGCTAAGGAGAATGAGCTCAAGAAGAGCAAACCTGGAGGGACCAGCAAGTTCAGTGAACCTAAGGAGAGTGGTGCAGCAACCAAGGAGCAGCAAAAGGGTGAGGAGAACCCAGAGGCAGCAGCGGAGGAGGACCACGGAGAGAGTATGTGGGGCGCTATTGCGAGCGCGGCATTCTCCAATCCAACTTCGGCTACGGGGGAGTGTGATTGACTCACCTTGCATCGGCGCATGGGGCATGTGGCCCTGCCCATCTTGCAGCAGCTAGTGAAGAATGAGATGGTTGCTGGCATACGTGTGAAGGGGGAGCCCGATGAGGTGCTTGGCTGCCCGACGTGCATTCAAGTCAAGTTCACCCGGTTTCCGTTCCCTAGTTCGGAGGCAACGGCAAAGGCACCGCTTGATGAGGTGGTGATGGACGTGGTGGGCCCCCTGAAGCTTGGAGCTGCTGGAGCTGAGTATTTTCTCACCATTGTCGACGTCTACACCCGCATGACTTGGGTGTACGTGCTGGCCAAGAAGAGCGACGTGGCTGAAACGTTGAAGACGGATTGGTTCCCGATGGTGGAGCGGCAACAAGACCGTCTAGTCAAGTCAATCCGCACCGATCGAGGGGGAGAGTTCCTGAGCAAGGAGTTTGGGTTGTGGCTGAAGAAGAATGGTATTCGGCACTCCCTCACCATGCCATACTCCCCTGCAATGAACGGCATCGCCGAGCGAGCGAACCGCACAATCACGGAGGCGGCACGCGGGTTGCTCATTGAAGCCGGGCTACCCGACTATTTCTGGCCTGATGCGGTGCGGAGCGCGTGTGTGGCCAAGAACAGAGCCTTGACTCATGTGGGAGCAGACAAATGGGTGCCCTATGTGGAGTGGCTAGGAAGGAAGCCAAAGGTGGATATGCTTCGGGTGTTCGGGTGCATGTGCATGGCGCTCGTGCCTAAGCATCTTCGGCACAACAAGCTTGGTGCCAAGGCGGTGTGGGCCGTGCACTTGGGCATGGCTCAAAACAGCAAGGGATGGCTTCTTTGGGACCCATTCACCAAGAAGTTCTTGGTGAGCAGGGACTGCAAGTTCATGGAGAACTTCATGTACAAGGATTGGAAGGCGGAGAATGAGGCGAAGATAGGCGTGCGGTTTGGGGAGGTGAAGAGTTCCGGTTTGGAGCATGTGGAGCTGCCTTTGGAACTGAGCAGCGGCAGCACAACCACAAGGCAATCCTCCCTTGTGAATGGGGGAGAGGAGGCCAATGATGCAGAGGAAGAAGAGGAGGAGGTGCAGCAAGTGAGCGAGCGTGCACCGTCACTTCCTTCCCGTACTACGAGTGCTCCACGGATTCGAGCCACACCGCAGCAACGCCAAGGCCTTCAAGTCCCTGCAGCTGAGGAGGAAGGAAGGGGGAAGAGGAGAGTTCAACCCCCTAATAGGCTGACCTATGATGCGCCGGGAAAGCAGGGCAAGACAGCCCTGGCCGGAGCGGCAATGATGGTCGGAGACGTCCAGGAGAGTGACTACGAGGAGTGTGCCTTCGCGTTCTTCTCTCCGGTGGAGATGCCGGGAGAACCAGCAACTATCAAGGAGGCTTTGGAGAGTAGTGATGCTGAGGAGTGGAAGAAGGCCATGGAGAGTGAGCTGAAGAGCATCGAGGAGAATGACACGTTTGAATTGGTGGAGCTACCGGAGGGGCGTACGGCGATAACGTCCAAGTGGCTCTTCAAAATCAAGTCGGATGCCGACGGCAAGATCGAGCGCTACAAGTCTAGGCTTGTAGCCAAGGGGTACCAGCAGAAGGAGAAGGTGGACTTCAAGGAGCTGTTTGCCCCTGTGGTGAAGCCGACGACGCTGCGAACCCTATTCGCGGGAGCCGCCATCAAAGGATGGGTAGTAAAGCAAATGGACATCGTAACGGCATTCCTTAACGGCATCCTTGAGGAGGAGATTTTTATGGTGCAGCCAGAGGGGTTTGATGATGGTAGTGGTAGAGTGTGGAAGCTGAAGAAGGCCCTCTATGGGCTGAAGCAGGCCCCTAGGCAATGGTACATGAAGCTGCGCGAAGTGTTGGAGGGGATCGGCTTCACTCCCTCAACGGCCGATCACTCCTTGTTCATGCTTGGCGAGGGGGAGCAGAGGAGTTTCATGGTGGTTTATGTGGATGACATCCTCATTTTCTCACCCTCTTCTGACCTTGTGAAGGAGGTGATGCTGAAGCTTCAAGACAAGTTCAAGTGCAAGGCCCTTGGTGACGTGAGCTTCTACCTTGGGCTCCACATCGAACGAGATGTGGAGAAGCGGTGCATGCGGGTGCATCAACGAAAGTACCTGGAGGCATTGGCTGCCAACTTTGGGCAGAGTGAAGGCCATGTGGCTACACCCTTTCCCTCTGGGTTCAAGTGTGTGAAGGGACCAGAGGAGGAGAGCGTTGGTGAAGAGGAGAGGCGCCGATTTCACTCGTTGGTGGGCAGCCTCATGTATGCGGCGGTAAACACCCGACCGGACGTCGCGTTTGCTACCGGGCAGCTGGCTAGGGTTGTGCAATGCCCTAATGAGGAGCAGGTAGCAGCTGGAATGAGGGTGGCCAAGTATCTTGGCCAAACACCGACCGTTGGGCTGCAATACTCGGCGGCGGCACAAAGGCGCCAAAAGGGCGCGGATGGTGTTGAACCCGGGCGTTTGTTCCTCACCGCCTACTCGGATGCTTCATATGCATCAGAACCAGAGGACATGACAAGTGTGGGAGGCTTCATATGCTGTGTTGGTGGAGGCCCAACTGCTTGGGAGAGCAAGAAGCAGGTTGACCAAGCTTTGAGCTCGGTGGAGTCCGAGTACATGGCACTCTTCCGTGCCGTACGGGAGATTGTGTGGCAGCGGCGTTTGTTGGCTGAATTGGGGGAGGAGCAGCAAGGACCTACCCCACTGTACTGTGACAGCCAGGGTGCCATTGCTCTTGCTAAGAACCCTGTGTTGCATGGACTCACGAAGCACATGAGAGTGAAGTGGCATTGGACGAGGAGCATGGTAACCGCGGGTGAAGTTGAGTTGCGCTACGTGAAGACCACGGGGCAGCCGGCTGACATGATGACCAAGAGGCTGGTGGAGCAACAGCATTGGAAGTGTTGCAAGCTGGCTGGGATGGCTCTGAACTGAGAGAGCAACATATCCTAAGGCCAACAATCCGAGGGGGAGTTTGTTGGTGCAACCCTACGGTTTGCACTCGGCTTGTTGTCCGTGTGCGTGAATGTGTGTGTGTATGGAATGGTATGAGGGCATGGGATAATATATATTTCATGCTTATAATTGTGTGTGAATGTTGAGTCATGATGTCGAGTGTGTGTGTCGAGTCAATAGCGAGTTATCGCTAGACGCGTGTTACGCGGTCGTTTGTGTCTCGCGCGCGGTTTTTATTTTGTCGTGCGCGGTTTCTATTTTGTCCTGTGTCGAACGTTCGGCGTGTCGCAGGTGTGTGCAGCAGACCCATCAAGAACTCAAGGATGAGTTTGTGATGAAGAGCCCGAGCCTTGGTGTCAAGCCTCAAGTGATTTCGAAGCTTGCCAAAAGGGTACACCTCAAGATATTGAAGATAGTTACATTACTTTGTGTAGTGTAACATTTCACTTGGTGTAGGCCCTAGTGAAGGGTAGTTTCGAGACCCTTCGTGGTTGGGGATAGTGTGGCACTGTTCCACATCACTGTACCTCGGCTCTTGGGGTTTGTAGGAGCTGGGAGTCATTCCCAACTCGTAACTCTTCCTATCTTGTGTTCTAAGACTATAGTGGCTGCCATAGTACTGTTCGTTCAAACCGACGCTGTGTCGTCAACTCTTTATCAAATCGTGCAATCTAAATTGCTAATTGTAGACGACGTGAAGATGCTCCAGATCCAATTTGAATCAAGTCATTTGCAGCTGTGAGCAGAACGCTATCAACGTTTGAAGCCGCTGTGCAGAAATCCGTCTATGCTCTCTATCTTTCGTTTTAGGCACATTCAAGCCTATTGTGACTATAACAAGTGGTATCAGAGCCCCTTGGAGCAGTTTCGACAATTGCTGGACCTGAAGAAAGGGGTGGCAGAGGTGCTGGTGGCAGTGGAGAAGCCCAAGCTCAAGGCCAACCCCGTGACTCAGCCATGGCGCCCGTGCAACCAAGTGTTGGCCCATCTAGGGACGAGCCTAGAGTGTTTGGCCTTGACAAGTTCAACGGTGACAACTTTGCTGAGTGGTCCTTCAGAATGGAGAACGTGTTTGATCACTATGACCTGCTGGAGGTGATGGAAGGAACGGAGAAGCGCCCCGAGAACGACCCGGAGAAGAGCCCGTGGGTGCGGAAGAGCGCACAAGGCTACCTCCTACTAGGGCAAGCGTTGGGGAGCAGCCAGATCCGTCACATCAAGCCTTTCCAGCGTGAACCAGAGAAGGGACCAAAGGCATGGGATGCTCTCAAGGGTGTACATGCTCCTGCAACAGCGGCGGTAGCGGTGGTGTTGGAACGGCAAATGGCGGCACTACGAATTGAAGAAAACGAAGCGGTTGAAGAAGGGGTGCA